CATGAGAAGAGTTTCTAATTAGCAGGGTTGAGGAAACACCTCCTAAAGTGAGATCTTTTAAAAGGTGGTTCGTAGCCTTCCATTCGCACATGCCTGGAAAAAAAGACTGTATTCTTTCCTTCCCATATTCCGAAAATCTGACAAAGGGCTGTTTGTATTTCATTCTGATGTAGATTGAGTGTGGAATGATGAAGTCACCGGTCAACTGACCACCCAATATTTTATTGCAGCGAAAGCATGTCAAATATTCCATGAGGGTCAAAAATGCCTTGGTACAGTATTACCTAATCCGAATGTCACAAGAGCTTAGTTCTAATTGTGGGATCTGCTACAAAGTGATACAGTTTGGGGTTTCCTTGTTTGCTGTGCCGTAATTTCTTACACGTAATTCCATTCTGTCATATCCTTTCCCCAGTTTTCCACTTCTTTTAACCTAACAGTTGGTGCACTATGCCTTTTAGCACATGCCATCTTCTCCCATACTTTAAAAATAAACTGGCCTTTATAAGTCAGTGGTTCTCAACCTTCCTATTGCAACGACCCCTTAATGCAGTTCCTCATGTTGTGGAACCAACCATAAAATTATTTTTGTTGCTTTTTCATAACTGCATTTTTCTACTGTGATGAATCATAATGTAAATATTTGATATGCAGGATGTATTCACTGGACCAGATTTGGCATAAAGACCCAATACACCCAAATTTGAATACTGGTGGGGTTGCCGGGGATGTGTGTGATTATGTCATTTGGGAGTTGTAGTTGTTGGGATTTATAGTTCACCTACAATCAAAGCAAGCAAACTAGTCAAATGTGGGCTAGGCAAAGCTATGGTTACGTGAATCTGTATTTGGTTAAGCAAACGAACCCAGAGGGTGCTCACCAATGCTTCCTCTTCATCCTGGAAAGAAGTCACGAGTGGGGTGCCATAAGCAGGGTTTCGTCCTGGGTCCGGTCCTGTTCAACATCTTTATTGATTACTTAGATGAAGGGTTGGAAGGCATTATCATCAAGTTTGCAGACATGACCAAATTGGGAAGGGGGGGATAGTCCCAGAAGATGGGAGCAGAATTCAAAATGATCTTAACAGATTAGAGAGATGGGCCAAAACCAACAAAATGAAGTTCAACAAATGCAAGATACTCCACTTAGGCAGAAAAAATGAAATGCAAAGAGACAGAATGGGGGACACCTGGCTCGACAGCAGTACATGTGAAAAAGATCTCGAAGTCCTCATGGACAACAAGTTAAACATGAGCCAACAATTGCATGCGGCAGCTTTAAAAGCCAGTAGGATTTTGACCTGCATAAATAGGAGTGTAGTCTCTAGATCCAGGGAAGTCAGGGATCTCTGTTCTGCACCGCAACTGAAGGGAGATGTTGACAAGCTGGAATGTGTCCAGAGGAGAGTGACTAAAATGATCAGAAGAACAAGCCATATGAGGAGCAGCTTAAAGAGCTGGGCATGTTTAGCCTTCAGAAGAGAAGGATGAGAGGAGACATGATGAGGGCCATGTATCAAGATGTGAAGGAGCAAGCTTGATTTCTTCTGCCCTGGAGACTAGGATGTGGAACAATGGCTTCAAAGTACAATAAAGGAGATTCCACCTGAACATTAGGAAGAACTTCTTGACTGTGAGAGCTGTTCAGCAGTGAAACTCTCTGCCTCGGAGAGTGGTGGAGGCTCCTTCTTTGGAGGCTTTTTAGCAAAGGCTGGATGGCCATCTGTCAGGGGTGCTTTGAATGCATTTTTCCTGCTTCTTGGTAGGGGGTTGGACTGGATCTCTTCCAACTCTATGATTCACCCCCCCCCCCGAAACTCAAAATTCAACACGCTTCACTTATTCCCCCACCTTTGTGTTCTTCTGTCGAAGTAAGGAGCCTAAGTCAGACTTTTCTCTTGGTTGCCATCTGCTGGATAAAATAGTTCTGAATAGCAGTAAGGAAATATGGGAATGAACTCCACACCCTTTCTTTGTACTCACTAAACATGTCAGCTGATCCAGAAAGCAAAAGTGAGCTGGCATTAAATATGATAAGGAAGCAGAAAATAATTATTATGAAGTATTTTGAAAGCAGCCACACTATGTTCTTGAAGTTCTTGAAGTAAGTTATTGAAGTATGGCATGTCCTTGGTATCTGCTGGAGATTGTTTTCAGAATCCACATGAATACCGAAAGCTATGTATGCTCAAGTTCCTATTATGTATAATGAGTTAGTAAAATGACACTCCTTAGATAAAATGGCAAAATCAAGGTTTGAATGGTGGAATACATGGATGCAGAATCTATGGACATGAAAAGCTGACTGCATATTATCTAGGTAGTATGATGTAGTGATTAGAGAGTTTTCTTCCTTCATGGCATAACCTTCAAGCAACCATGTGCAGAAAGGTAAAGGATTCCTCTTGGCTCAATATAAAAAAGATAGCTTTTGGTTACACTAAGTCCTTAAGTGGTTTCATATCTCATGATAGGTGATTCCATGGAAAGGGATCCCTTGACTTCACACAGAACCGAAGTAGCACTTTATGGAAACAAGCTTTTGAGTCCATAGTGCAGTGTTTCTCAACCTTCCTAATGCTGCAACCCCTTAATACAGTTCCTCATGTTGTGGTGACCCCCAACCATAAAATTATTTTTGTTGCTACTTCATAAATGTAATTTAGCTACTGTTATGAATCATAATGTAAATATGTGATCTGCAGGATGTATTTTCATTCATTGGACCAAATTTGGCACAAATACCCAATACACCCAAATTTGAATAATGGAAGTGTTTTATGGAATAATGGAAGGGGGGGGGGGTTGATTTTGTCATTTGGGAGTTTTATTGCTGGGATGTATAATTCACCTACAATCAAAGAGCATTCTGAACTCCACCAACAATAGAATTGAACCAATCTCTGAACTCCCATGACTAACAGAAATTACTGGAAGGGTTTGTTGGACATTGATCTTGAGTTTCGGAGTTGTAGTCCACCTACATCTAGAGAGCATGGTGGACTCAAACAATGATAGATCTGGACCAAACTTGACATGAATGCTCAATATGCCCAAATGTGGATACTGGTGGAGTTTGGGGAAAATAGACCTTGACATTTGGGAGTTGCAGTTGCTGGGATTTATAGTTCACCTACAATCAAAGAGTATTCTGAATCCCACCAATGATAATATTAGACCAAACTTCCCATGCATAACCCCATGACCAACAGAAAATACTGTGTTTTGTGATAATCTTTGGTGACCACTCTGATACCCCCTCACGCCCCTCCCAGGGGTCCCGACCCCCAAGTTGAGAAACACTGCAATAGTGGATTGTTTTGTGAAAGTCATGAGTAAGATTATAGCCTTGTACAGCTCTGGATGCTTTTTATAGGAGTTGGTTGTATTGTGGGCCTTTGAGGCATTTCAAGAATGATATTAAGCTACTCCAACAATTATTTATTTAACCTCAGCCAGGTTTCAATACATGTAAACTTCATCTAATGGTCATGATCTATTTGAATAATCCAGACTGGAAGCAGGCAAACATTCTCTTCATCTGTGCAGATAATATTTTGTCTTCTGTTGTGTTTTCAGTTGCCTAGCTAGCTTTCAAATACACCCAAGTTCCACTTCTTTATTTTTGACACTGTTCTGATACCTGTTGTTTTTGCTGCTGGAGATCTCAGTCTTTTCCTTATTCCCTTTTTCTGTTTGTATGCCTCTTCTTCACAAAGGCATTTTGCAGTCTGGTTTCTAAATATTTGAGCTGTATTCAGGAACAAAGAGGTGCTTGATCTGAGTTCAAAAGGATTTTACCTTATGGTAGAAAATAGGAACTGTGCCCTAAATCCGGTTGGGAGCTTTACTTTGGAAGCACACCTTGAATCAACCATAATACGCTGACCTTGAAGAGTGAAGACTGAGCTTCTTTAGCCTTTGAAGTATCTCAGAGCTTATCTACACTGGACAGTTTAGCCCAGTGTAAATCTGCCCCAGAGCAGCCCTGAATGCAGCATGCTTATACTGAATCTGTGGCTCTTGTCCTGATGGGTCAGGACTGTTGTCATGTTGTCTGTGTCACTACCACTTCTCCTAGCCTGCCTTGAAACCCCATCCAACTTTGTGGCCATCATGAGCTCCTCTGCTGATGTCATGATTGGGTGCCACTTAAGAAGGAAGGATGATTTCTCCTACTTATTGTTGATTGCGTGGCCATCTCTGTTGATGTTAGAATAAGGTGTCCACATCACCAGCAGAAAGGACAGGAGGCCACCTATCTCCCTCTATAAACCATTTTGAAAGTTAAGATTGTCCGAGGAGGCCCTGCTCTCGGTCCCACATCCTTCACAGGTGCGATTGTTGCGGATGCGAGACAGGATCTTCTCAGTAGTGGCCCCTCTTCTATGGAACACCCTCCCCAAAGAAATTAGATCAGCATTCTCCCTCTTGTCCTTCAGAAAAAAGCAAAAACTTGGGTGTGGAACCAAGCATTTGGGCAATAAGCAATACAAAGAATGAACAGAGATGATGTGCAATTGATATTTGATATCGGAATGGCCTGTGACTATGATTTTTGGATTATGTGATTTTAATGTTTATATCAATATGTTTTTAACTACACATTTTAATGTATAATTGTTTATGCATTTTATGATTTAATTGATAGTTATATGTTATTGTTGTTTTATGTTAGGCTATCATATGTTTGTGAGGCATTAGATTTTGCCACAAATGTGTTGAATATTGCTTTGAGTCCCCCCCTGAGGTGAGGAAAGTGGTATACAAATGGAACAAATAAATATGGAACAAATAAATAAATAAGCAAACTCTATAACTAACTTCTGTTACACATCTCTACCATTTTAAGGCCTTGTCATCGTTTTCTACTGTTCTCTATTTACAAACCAATATAAATGTATTGTTTAACAGAGTTTTTCATCTTTATAAAAGGGATTATTTGAACTTCATTGATTGTTTACCAGCTAATAATAAAAGCTTTTTCTTCCATTTCACAGATCCAGGTTTACCATGGTGGGCCTACCTGTTCTCGTATTCTTGTGGACCATTAAAGGTGCCTTTCCTGCTCATTCTCACTGGAAGCCAACCTGGCCATCCTACAGAGTCCCAGTCGTTGTGCCCCAATTGACTGTGAATTTGGACAAGCCGCAGTTTGACGCAGAAGCCAAACTAGAAGTGGTATCACCTTGTGGTCCTTCATGCCACAAAAGTTCTCCATTGCCAACTTATGAAGAGGTGAAGGACTATTTGTCCTATGAGACCTTATATTCCAATGGTTCTCGCACAGAGACAGAAGTTGGTATCTACATCATTACTGGTGGAAACACTGGGGCACAAAGCAGATCTCGGAGAAAAAGACAAATCTATGGATACGACACAAGGTTTAGCATTTTCGGCAAGGACTTTTTGCTAAACTACCCCTTTTCCACTTCTGTGAAGTTATCCACAGGCTGTACTGGAACACTGGTGGCTGAAAAGCACGTCTTGACTGCAGCTCATTGTATTCATGATGGAAAAAGCTATGTCAAGGGAGCCAAGAAGCTGCGAGTGGGGTTTCTGAGGCCCAGACTGAAGGATGGTAGCAAGGGGGCGAATGTCAGCAGCTCTCCCGACCCACACAAAATGAAATTCCAGTGGATCCGAGTGAAACGGACCCATGTCCCCAAAGGGTGGATCAAAGGGAATGCCAATGACATTGGCATGGACTATGATTATGCTCTGTTGGAACTCAAGAAACCCCATAAGCGAAAGTTCATGAAAATAGGAGTGAGCCCAACAGCAAAACAGTTGCCTGGGGGAAGGATCCACTTCTCAGGCTATGACAATGATCGGCCAGGCAATCTGGTTTACCGTTTCTGTGACGTCAGGGATGAAACGTATGATCTCTTGTACCAGCAGTGCGATGCCCAGCCAGGGGCCAGTGGTTCTGGGGTTTATGTGCGGATGTGGAAGAGACAGAACAACAAATGGGAACGTAAAATCATTGGGATATTTTCTGGACACCAGTGGGTGGACACCAATGGCTCCCCCCAGGATTTCAACGTGGCTGTACGCATTACCCCTCTCAAATATGCACAAATATGTTACTGGATCACAGGGAACTATCAGCACTGCCGGGATGGCTAAAGACAATGAACATCCCATGGAGGCCTTGATTGGTTATTGGGGGAAATCAGACTCCTGTATTGCCAATGTGCACAATTCTGTTTTATGAATACCAGGATGCAAGATGTAATTGGGAGGTCCATCTTACTATTTGTGAAGGTCATGTGTGTTAAATAGCAGGTCCAGCTTGAAAATTTAACAAAGACTGGGCTCAACTCTGACATTAAGAAGCTTTGGCTATGGGGTGGGGAGTAGGGGGGCTTGCTGTGAACACTTTCCATGGTTCAACTAGTCTCCAGGATCAGAAGGGTTCTGAGATTTAGTGTAAATTGTAGAAGAGCTATCTCTGATGCAGAACCCGTTTTGGGGTTCCATACCAAAGATAGCTGATTTTATTGTAAGCCACTCACTGAATTAAGCATATTTTAATAAGTAAGAACTCATCTAATGTTCAGATTAAGTCCTATGTGGAATCACTGTCCTATTGTCGAGGTAGCCATCAATTGCCATGGTCACTGTCTGCTGATGACCTTAATCTCTTTCCTTTTGGCTGTCCTCATTCTTATGTTAGCTTTCCCAATTCTCAAATTTAACATGCTGCAATGATCAGAATGTATGTATTTGACCTTTGCAATCTTCCCTAAGGCAGATCTGTATCCATCAGTAGGCACCATGGATATGTCAATCCTCAGGCCTACCAAATTGTATGGTGCTGATAGAGACTCCTCCATTGCAAGGATGTTCTAATAGCTTTCTTATGTGTTATGCCACTATTCTTTGTGCATTTCCATTCCCATGTCAACTGAATTTTTCTTGAGCTGATACAACTTGTTTTAGGTGCCAAAAAAGACTTAAGAGATTGCAACTGGAGCCAGTGAATCTACTCCATTTGAATCACAGAGGAGCTATCCAAGGTGCTGAACTCTACCACCTATCAAACCTAGCTTCAGCACCTTGAATAGCAGCCTTAGCATGCAGATTAAAACCTGGAACAGAGTCACAAACCCCACTAATGTTGTAGCCACCTTCTGCATCTGCATCAAGTGGATCAAATGCCATCAACTGATGCTTTGAAGTAGCGGCTTTAGCAAAAGATATTTCACTTTGAAGAACATGAGTGCAACGTGAAGAAACCTGAAATACATTTGGTTTTAGCAGCTTTGACTGTTTTTTTTTCCAAGAAGCTCTTATGTGCAAAGCTGGGAACCTGCCATGATTCTGTGGGAATGCAGAATAGCTGAAGAACATGGCATTGTCTTGCATTTAGTTACCTAAGAATCTCAGGGTAATTTTCTAAGTGAATCCACTCACTTTATTTACTGCACTGACTTTAACAAAGTTGCTTCCTTATACAAGTTAGTTTGGCTCCAGCTGATGGAGAAAGTTGGAAGTAATCACAGGGACCTCTCTGTCTACTTCCATCTTGGCAGGGTATGAGAAATTAGATCCTCTCAGTCTCCTAAAGACTCTTAGCTGTGCCAGAGGACTGGTGGGAAAAGTAAAGAAAGATGTCTATTTCTTTGCGCACAGGCCTTGGGAAAGTTTGAGGCAACAGAAGAGAACACACATTAATTCCTGACAACCTGAATAATGACATAAAGGATGCAAACTTATGTACACTATACAAGTTTTTAGTGTTATGAGTGCATTGTAAGTACAGGTACTATTGTCAGGTATTATGAGAGGCATCCAGTCTTGGGTAGGTTCTAGCTATTCTGTGAGAAAAGGATTAATCTCCCTTTCCCAGCTGCATGCCTCTCCAGATGTGCTGGATTCCAGCTTCCACCATCTCTACTTGGCACACACTGCCTGTGGATAATAGGAATTATATTCCAACTCATTTGGAGACTGCAGGTTGGATGATATATATCAGCTGCCTGACAATGTCCATTTTTTTTGGAAGAGTAGCACATCTTTTGGTACTCTTTGTGCATTTCCATTCTTTGTGGACTGACGAATTCAAACCATGGCCTAAATTCTGTTTTTAGACCTAAACAGAGTAGAACAATTGAATCAATTCAATTTGCCTATGCATTTACTCACCATTCAATAATTGATAAAATTGACCTATTTCATTGGGACTAAAAGAAATCCATTTTATTGGGAGAGCCAGATTAAGTAAGCCTATTTTGCAGGGATTATCCAAATGGCCAACAGCAAGCCAGGAGCCAATATGCCCCCCCCCCCATGGTTGCCACATACTGAAGTCACAACAGTAGACCTTTGATGAAGAAAAAGTGATGCTTACCAGAGTCTTTGGCTAATAATGATTAGGCAAACTATTCGAGTGACCGAAACTAGGCAACCAAGTTCAAAATAAATTAATAGTTGTTCTTCTCCTTTCCATGTTGGCAGACCATCTTTTCCCACAGAAACAACATCTCCAGGTCTTTGCCACTTGATACCCAAACATTGCTTGGGTTTGTTTTTGTTCCATTACAAAAGAAAACATTAAGATGCTATACTTTGCAGCCTAAATGTTTGTGCCACTGGAGTTTCTAAGGCTTTAGAACTGTGGGTTAGGCTGCCTTTAAGCATTTATCTGTCTTCCATTGAGAAGAAGAACGCTGTCAGAAGAAATGTTGTGCTTTGCAAGATGTGGACAGACTACTCATTTCCCCTCCACCTTCCTCTGTGTAAGTGTGTGTGTGAGAGAGAAGAAGACACACACACACATGTATATATATTTAGATTCAGCAAACCCATGCTAGGCACCTTTCTTGATCCCTCTTTGGCACAGAATTGCAAAGGAGTTGGGAGGCATTCTAAATAGCAGTGGAGGAAAGAAGATGCTTCCCTTGTGTAATCTATCCCCAGATGGGATTCACTGATATGTATTTGTCACATCAGGATGAAAAACTTACATACACGCAGGTCTGGTGTCAGTATCCTGGATCTACAGCCAATGATGGCCTCTTGTTCCTTGCCCTTCAATGGTGAGCACTGAAATGCAATATTCCACAAGTTCTACCATCACAATAATATAACAATGCCCACCACTGATGGCCATCATATTTTACTAATTATGTTTGGCTTTTAAAAATCTATGTACATTACCTCAAAATGACAGAGTTTCTAGAGCATTGTATTTTGGGAAAACTAACCATAGTAGCCAAAAGGGCTCTTTAGACCATTTGATGCCAAGAATCCCCTAATCTATGTAGGCCAGGCATGGACAAACTTTGGCCCTCCATGTGTTTTGGATTCCAACTCCCACAATTCCTAACAGCCTACCGGCTGTTAGGAATGATGGGAGTTAGAGTCCAAAACACTTGGAGGACCAAAGTTTGCCCATGCCTGGTGTAGGCAGTACTGCCTCCAGAAGTGTATTCTCAACAGAGTTTCGCTTAGGAGATCTGGAACAGAGTCAACTGACAAGTTGTGCATTGCTTTGCAGATGATGTCAAATGGAGCTACAATTTTTCACCATGGCGGAAACAGTCCAAATCACTTAAAATCAGAAAGTATGCAGATATTTTTCCAGTAGTGGTGTGTGTGTATCAAAAATCCTTCTTTCCTGGTGATGTCCCATGGTGCTGATATGCCCGCTTCAGTGGTGCTGTTTTGTTTCTCAAGCTAGAAGTACCCAATGATGTGTCCCAGATGTAGCTTTCAGACATATTGGATCGATCATCAGGGCTGTTTTTTATGTGTTTTGATGCACTGGCTCATGCTTCAAAAAGAATTTTGAAAAAACACCCTCACTCCATCCTTGGTATATTATAGTAACAGAATCTGCCTCCAGTTTTTGTCAGTGTCTAATTTCTCTGTCTGTTTACTTGGCACACCTATTTTTGAATGTATTGTGGTCAATTCAGAGAGTTAATGGAACTTTTAATGCAATGAATTGTGTACATATTTATGTATGTTTGCCAGAGATCGAACCATTCATTATAATTCTACTTATTTTGTAAACATGCTCAAATACAGCACAGTTTTGTCACCTCCTGCAGCAACGCCTCTTTCTTTGGTTATGTTCCTCTTCTTTTTCCTTGCAGAAAGTGGAGTACTGTTTTGTACAGTTCCTACTTCTCTCCCCCGCTTTTCCCCAGTCACCAAGCATTACACAATTCAAACAGCAGCTCCAGGGAGAAGAAACAAGAGGTTGCACAACAAGGATATGAAAATATCCATTTTGAATCTTCTGACACCAGCAGTGGGATTAAAATATCTTACCTTGGAAAACCATCTATTTTCAAAGCTTCTGATAGATTTCAGAAAATGTGCACATAACTATAGATGCATTTTTAAAAGCTTCCATCAGTAAGAGATAAATATGTGAGAATGGACATTGAAACAAAACATATGGACAAAAATATGTCCATTTCCATCAGGAAGGCAACAATCTACATCATAGTGCTGAATTGGTATGAGGACAAGCATATTTGAACAATGGAACAAAAATGAATCAGGCAGAATTTTACCTCCACTGTAAACAAATTAACTCTGCAAGAAGGATCGAACAGGGGAGGCTTCCTGCTTCTCCCTCTACAAGATTTCCTAATTTTCGGAAATTTCAGACACCAGAAAGGCCTGGACCCAGCAGGGCCATTCAGAGTGAACCAAAGAAGGAAACAGTTGTTCCACTGCAAGAGAAATAATAATGGAATTAAGCATCACATGCAATTTGAGCCAGATAAAACGACTGGAAAAAGTAGAGATAGAGTTGTAAATTAGAGCTTCTGCTAGCTAAGGATTTCAGCTTTCTTTTATAATTGTTTTTCACCCACACACTCTGGTTCGATGCAATTACATGCCTGACATGACCAGAAGTGATGTTGCATCACTTCCAAATTTATCATGGCTCAGGAGTTTTGTAAACCTTGACTTTGCAGGACTTGTGGGACTGTGCATTCAGATCTCAAGGGCCACAAAGGAAGGGCCTGCGGGCTGCTTTTCCCCCACTCCTCTTTGACGGTAGGATTGGGACATGATGGAGAATCTAATATAGAGAATAATAAGGGATACAATGTACTAACATCTGGAAAAGCACCCATTTCCACTCTCTAGTCTGGAGATTAGAACTGGTAGGGGTTACAAGGGGCATCCAGCCCAACTCCCTGTCATGTAGGACCCCACAGCTAAAGCACTACTGAAAGATGTCCACCCACCCTCTGTTGAAAAACCTCCAGAGAAGGAGAGTCCACCACCTTCTGAGGAAGTCTGTTTGTTCTGCTGAATAGTCCAATGGTTATCTCTGGAGCAGCAGGGGGAAAGCTCACCTCATCTTCTACATCTTCCTGATGCCTTGACCCTTTATTACAGTTCCTCATGTTGTGGTGACCCCCAACCATAAAATTATTTTCATTGCTACTTCATAACAGTAATTTTGCTACTGTTATGAATCATACTGTAAATATGTGATATGCAGGATGCATTTTCATTCACTGGACCAAATCTGGCACAAATACCCAATACACCCAAATTTGAATACTGGTGGGGTTGGGGGGGGGGATTAATTTTGTCATTTGGGAGTTGTAATTGTTGGGATTTATAGTTCACCTACAATCAAATGGCATTCTGAACTCCACCAATGATGGAATTGGACCAAATTTGGCACACAGAATGCCCATGATCAACAGAATATACTGGAAGGATTTGGTGGGCATTGACCTTGAGTTTTGGAGTTGTAGTTCACCTATATCCAGGAGCACTGTGGACTCAAACAATGATGGATCTGGACCAAACTTGGAACAAATACTCAATATGCCCAAATGTGAACACTAGTGGAGTTTGGAGAAAATAGATTTTCACATTTGGGAGTTGTAGTTGATGGGATTTATAGTTTACCTATAATCAAAGAGCCCTTTGAATCCCACTGACGCTGCCATGCGCTGAGCACACTTGCTCTCCCCATCTCACTTGTATTCTCAGAAACAGCCCTCCCCTTGGCTGAGAGGGCAGCTGAGAGTCCGGCTAATCACAGCAGGAGGGGAGGGCTTTTCGTGGGAGGATTTGCCGTCTATTTCCGAAAAGAAAGAGAAGGACATGTGGAGAGATCTTCAGCCTTCTCTGCCAAAGGGGTTCCTAAGACCATCAGTCAGTTGCTGAGTTTATTAGTCAACATCGATTACAGCGGAGCCCCCAGTGGCACAGTGGGTTAAACCCCTGTGCCGGCAGGACTGAAGACCGACAGGTCGCAGGTTCGAAGCCAGGGAGAGGTGGATGAGTTCCCTCTATCAGCTCCAGCTCCTCATGCGGGGACATGAGAGAAGCCTCCCACAAGGATGATAAAACATCAAATCATCTGGGCGTCCTCTGGGCAATGTCCTTGCAGACGGCCAATTCTCTCACACCAGAAGCAACTTTCAGTTTCTCAGATCGCTCCTGACATGACAAACAACAACAAAAAAACAGATTACAGCAGTTTTGTATAAGAATCTGAGCATGACTAGTCTACTCCATTCATGAAAGAAAGCTTCAGTGCGATAGACTATGATGAGGTCAGAAGTTAATTTTTAGAACTCTAAGTTCCAGAATCCCACAAGCAAGATGGCTTATGGATTCTTGTACTTGTATTCCAAAATGGCAACATTTTCCAGGTTCTGACATGAAGCCATCAAAATCTGCAAACAAGAGTGTATTGCAGGACCACCCAATAAAAACTACAATATATGCATTGGGTATGAGCCCAAGATACACTAGCTGAGGCAAAGAATATGTTGGTATTCCTTTCCCTGTTCTGTGCACAAAAGCAAGAAGTCCTAGTCCAATACTCAAACCAGTACACCACACTGGCTCTTCTATCATTAAAGCTATAGGAGCCTTCTCCAGTTTCCAGACTTGTACCTTATGACATGGAAGATTTCTGGGGACCAAATTATTTATTTGATATTGTTGAGTGTGTGTGTGTATGTATGTGTGGAGGGGGTGGTAGTGGTGGACATGGCATTATGTCAGCCTGCATCTGTACTCTGAAGAATTTTTTTCAGTGGGAAGAAAGTAGGGAATCACCTTGTTTTGTTTTGCTAGGGAAGTACAAGCCATCAATTGTCAGAGTTCCCTCTTTTCCTATTATTGCACACTGCCACGTCTCTCTGCTTATGACTTTGTAGAGGCAAGCCTTGAAATGTGCCAGCTTGAAACTCCCTCTTCTGAGAAGACACAATGCATACTTAGAATGCTTCTCTCTATTGCCACTTGTTAGCACATCTTGGTAGAGAGCCAGCTTAGTACATAACGCTTTGCCCCCAAGAAGGGAAGTTTTCAAGCAATGGAAAAGCAAGCAAGGCAGCAGGAGAAAGAAGAAGTATAGGAGGCTATTATTGTGCAGCTAAGTTTTGAAGGAGACCTAGGATTCATCCCCTAATGGCCAGAGGAGAAGACAGTGCTACATAGAGAACCCCTCTAGTCAATCAGAAAAAATAGGGAGGTGTCCATTTGAGGTCAATGAGGCAACATTCCCTCCTTGTGTGATTTGTTAGGACAGTGGTTCCCAACTTTTTTGACTCACCAAGAATAATTAGAATAATTTTCTATGGCTGAGCTCCTTAGGCCTACCCTATATCTTACAAGTTAATGGTGATCAGGAATAGTGTTATGGAGTGGGGTGGGGGGAGAGGGGATAGACAGTAAGGGAATATTAAGTTAAGGTCAAAAGCTGCAACTGGTGCAGAGACTGACAGCCAGGTTACTAATTGGAGTGCCATACAGGGAGATAACTATTCTCATGCTATAGCAGCTCCACTGGTTGCCGGTCCGGTTCCAGGCTAAATACAAAGTTCTGGTTATTACCTATAAAGCCCTAAATGGTTTGGGCCCAGACTTTTTGAAAAACCGCATCTCCACATATAAACCAGCATGGGTGCTGTGGTCTGTGGAGGAGGCCCTGCTTTCAGTCCCACCACCGTCTCAAGCATGGGAACGAGAGAGGGCCTTCTACGTGATTGCTTCCCCCAACCTTTGGAACTTCCTCCCCAAAGAAATAGAAATGACCCCCTCTCTCTTTAAAAAACTTCTGAAAATCCATCTATGCACCATAGCCTATGGAGTAGAGGACTAGAACATCTTGATATACAATCTTGACAGGGCGGGAAGGGGCAGGGCGGGGTTTGGAGGGGGTGTGAAGAGAAAGAAGATGGAGGAGGTAAGATTGGGGCGGGTTGGGGGAGGGAGGGGGCGTGGTGTGACGTGTTCGTGTGGGGCGGGGCAGGGGAGGGGGCCTGGTGTGGCGTGTTCGTGTGGGGCGGGGCGGGGCGGGGGGGGGGGGGGGCATGGTGTGGCGTGATTGTGAGGGGCGGAAGCCCCGCCCACACCCACTGACGCCCTGCCCCTACACTCCTCCTCCCCCGCCCACCCCCCTCCACGGAAGCCCCGCCCACACCCACTGACGCCCCGCCCACCCCCTCTGCGGAAGCCCCGCCCGCACCCACCGACACTAAAAAATGATATTGTCATTTGGGAATTGTAGCTGCAGGGATTTATAGTTTACCTATAATCAAAGCATTCTGAACTCCACCAATGACGGAATTAAACCAAACGTGGCACACAGGACTCCCATGACCCAACAGAAAGCACGCATTGGGAAGGAAGAAAGGAAGGAGGGAAGGCAGGAAAGAAAGAGGTACCGAAGGAAGAAAGAAGAGAAAGTAGAAAGGAAAGAAAAATAAAAGGAAGGAAAGGCAGGAAAGAGGTAAAGAAGGAAGGAGAAAAGGAAATAAAAAAATGAAAGAAGGAAGGAAACATGGAGGGAAGAAAGGAGGCAAAGGAAGAAAGGGGGAGGGAATGAAAGAAAGAGAGAAGGATGAAACCAAGGAGCGAAAGAAGGAAAGAAAGAAAGAAAGAAAAAGAAAGAAAGAAAGAAAGAAAGAAAGAAAGAAAGAGGTAGAGAAGGAAGAAAGGAGAGAAAGGGGGAGAAAAAGGGGGAAGGAATAGGTAGGTACCTCTCTTTCATAATAGTCCAGATATCTACCTCTACTTTGAAAAGATTTACTATAGGCCACA